TGCATTTTTAGAGTAATCACACTGACACAGCGCTAGGAAGACCCAGCAGCTGGAAATGGGAACAAGTAACTGATCTGGGGAGTCAGAGACTAGATCACAATCAGCAGCACCTGGGCATGGTGCTCCTGGGGCGCCTGAAACAGAGACTCCACTAGCAGCTCTATGAGCCTCTCACCCACAGTGAAGCATCCCTTTAGACTGACTTTTAAAATGGAACATTGAATGCAATTTTGTCTTCATTGTTCTTGTTCCCACAAAAGCCACAGTGTCTGTCACATCAGACCTGCCTATCTCTGGCCTCCCAGGAGTCCCTTCCAGGCTTCAATCTGCTAGAGACTAAAACTCCAGCTATACCAGATCAAATCCAACTAGCCTGGGAGCAATGGCTTAACCTATAATCCACTTGCCGTGCCTCCTGCTCTATCCCCAATCTTTTTTTTTTCTAAAATTTCCTGCCCAAGTGCCCATTGACCCACAAATGGATCAATAAATTGTGGTATATGTAGGCCATGGAATACAGTACAGCCATAAAGAAAGATGGAGACTTTACCTCCTTCATGTTTACATGGATGGAACTGGAAAATATTCTTCTTAGCAAAGTATCCCAAGAATGGAAGAAAAAGTATCCAATGTACTCAGCCCTAATATGAAACTAATTTATAGCTTTCATAGGAAAGCTATAACCCTATTTTAGCCCAAGAATGTGGGGAAAGGGAAAAGGGAGGGGAGGGGAGGCGATAGGATGAGTGGAGGGAGGGTGATTGGTGGGCTCAAGCCTATGGTTCATCCTATAAAGGTACACATGAATCTCTCTAAATGTAGAATATAAATGTCTTAACACAATAACTAAGAAAATGACATGAAGGCTATGTTAACCAGTTGGATGAAGGTATTTCAAATTGTGTATGGAAACAGCACACTGTACCCCATGATAGTATTAATGTACACAGCTATGATTTAATAAAAATAAATAAATAAAATAAAATAAAATTTCCTTTCTTTCCTCTTAACAATTGTTTATTAAATCGTAACTGTGTACATTAATGCATTTATGGGGTACAATGTGCTGATTTTATATACAATTTTAAATGCTTACATCAAACTGGTTAACATAGCCTTCGCCTCACTTTATAAATGTATAAATGTTTTGACATTTATACTCTACTCTGTTCCCAATCTTTACTCACAAAAGAGAACTTTGGAGAGAAGTGCCTAAAAACCTTTCCATTAGGCTCGGCACCTGTGGCTCAAGCGGCTAAGGCGCCAGCCACATACACCTAAGGTGGCGGGTTTGAATCCCCAGCCCAGGCCCGCCAAACAACAGTGATGGCTGCAACCAAAAAATGGCCAGGC